TGCATCTATATCTATATCTATATCTATATCTATATCTATATCTATATCTATATCTATATCTATATCTATATCTATATATCTATAGAAATGTATACATATATGGTACCCCCCCTCCCCCACACTCCCCCCACCCCCCCCTCACCCGCCCCCAAAGCCCGCACCTTCATGCGAATGCCGGTCCATCAGAGGCGCTTCTGTTGCAGTTAAATGCACGAGGCCCAGGCCTCGCGAGTGGCGGGAAGCTTGGGATTTGTCACATCGAAGCACGCAGCCGTCCGCGGGTTCTGTTAAACCCCTGGGATGAGACGGGATGTTGATAGTGGCTTCGTAGCTTCCATGCCGGACGCAGCTTCGTTGTTTGAACGACAGCATTCGTTCGATTGTAGTGTAAGCTAAGCGGCATGTTCCAGGCACGCGCTTGCAACGTCCAAGGCCGACGGATGGAAGACCTCTGCAGTTACTACTAGTATCGAATATCCATGGTGTCGGTGTTCGAGGGACTGAGGTGGACACATGGGGGTAGGCGGGAGAAGCAGCTTTCACGGCTCAAGGTGTCGTGATGACCGTGAGGGGCCAGAAATCCTGCCAAGCCTAAAGATGGCACAATGTTTTGTACACGAACTTTGATCAGAAAGAATGCAGGTAACGCACTTGGAATTCCTTACGTTTCTCGTGTTTTGAAAGCTTCCACTGAATCGTGAAATAGTTCTCGAAGACCTCCGTTGGCAGAATGCCGTGTTATTCCCGACCCTTGAAGAAGCAACGTTGTTCGGTCTTTGTCTTATTGTGTTGGCCCTGGTTTTCAGCCCTGAATGGTAACTGGGTCGATGTCTTCGGGATAGACGCATTCGAACCTTAGGTTCGATGTTGCACCGTTTTTGCGACAGATTCACAGGCGTCACGACCCGAATGTGCAAATGCCAGACGACGCCCTGATAATTCGGCCTGTACTTGTGGACCCACCTCAGGTACTTTTGCAAGCGTATACTCCGTGACCGTGAAGCTTGCGGATTCCAGGCCAGTCAGCATTGAAGATTCGGGATCCCGTGTCATATTCAGGTCCAGAGTCCATCCATCATTCTCAGGTCGACAGTTTCCTGAAAATTTGAAATTTGAGGTTCTCTTGCCGAACGTGTTTCTTGTCCCTTTTTGATGAGGACACCAGGACACCATGGTGAACGGTAGGTTGCAAAAATATATGTTCAGTTTTGCTGTTTAGGCAGTTTAGGCATCTCGTTGACCGTCAAGTTCCCAAGGTTTCAGGTACAAGCCATACTGCGTGCACGGGTGTGCATGTGTGCGTGTGTTTGTGTGTGCGCGCGTGTGTGTGTGTGTGTGTGTGCGTGGGTGTGTGTGGGTGTGTGGTGTTGGTGCCTGCATATGTGTGACCTCGTTTGGGGTGTGTTTGGCGAAACACATCATTGCAATACGGTTTGTGCACCTTAGGATTTAGGGTAGTTGGGCTTTTGGGAGCTTTTTGCGATACCTTGCAGCTTTTGCAGAGCGTAATCGAACATGGCCCGTGCAAGGTGTACGGCACTGAGGCGGAGCGCCGGCCGTTTCTGGGTGCAGAGGACTTCTTCGAGGGTTTAGGGTTTATGGCTTAGGGATGTTTAGGGCCAAGTTTTGGGTATATAGGGTTGCGGGCTTTATGGCTTTTATGGTTTAAGATTGTAGGAAACTTTAAGGTAAGGGATCCCAAGCTTTTGTAGGGATCGCTGGGGGTCGAGCGTCTCAGGTAGATCAAGACTGGCTCAAGACTGGTACTTGCGATGACAGGCAGGGTTCAGGGTTTAGGGTTTAGGGTTTAGGGTGTAGGGGTATTTAAGTTGAAATCCACATTACTTGGCCCACAACGATAGCTTCTGCAGAACTCTAAGCCATAAACCCGCAGACGCTGAACTCCCATGATTCGCCGTTATGCCGGAGGGACAGCAGTATTTGTCGCACGGCATACGCTGTATGGCTCGAAGGCTAGAAACTTTGGGTTCCCTGACACACAGGCTTCAGATTTCCTTCAAGAGATACTGCAGTAGGTTTTAGGGTTTAGGGTTTACTACTTTAGTAGATATGGCACTATACTATAAACAGGTTGCACAAGATTGCATGACTAGGCTTTCAGCCGGAAGCAGCCTCAAAACCATCAAAGGTGCAAGACGTCCCTGTTAAGCCGCCTAATCGTGACAGTTTTTTTCTGCATCCTTCTGCATCGTTGCCTTCCAGGTGCTTGGGTTTCCTTTCAGGGATACTCTGGGGTTTGCATAAGGGTAGTTCTCCAAATCAGGGTCCCGTTTCAGGTCCTCAACATAGTACGGCACCCTTATAAAGAGGACCCGAAAAGGGACCCTAATTTTGAAAACTACCCATAAGGGTACTATAAGGAAATTATAGAACGCGGAACTGTACAAGACATTCAGCTCCAAACCATGACCCAAAGTACCTGGTAAAGCTTAATCGTTGAACCGGTGCTCGTCCCAGGAGCTCCTGAAGCATGCCTTCTGAAGAAGCGGTTCAGGGTTTGGAGTTCGTGTCTAGAGGAAGGAGCTTGGTTTCTATTTCTCAAGCTCTTCTTTCCGTATCGGCTTCGTTCTCAAGTGCAGGAAAACTTGCAAAAACAACTTCGCCGACCACTATGGACACCATAGCGCGTCGGTTAGCTTCAACACGTGTGACAACCCTGGGGCTCCCGCTCGATTTATTTCTGGGGTGTCCCCTACTGGAGCAAGTGGTCGGTACTTTCGCGCAGCCTCATTAGGTTGTTTTCGTTGAGTGTAGCGGTCGGGATTCCAAGTCCAGCGGCACACGGCTGATCTTGTAAATCGTGCTTGAAACATCAAACCCTAAACCCTAAAACCGGTGTCAACAAAAACCTAAGACATAATCAATTCCGAAGGAGCCTATCAGAAGCATTCATTGTAAGAGTTGTTGATTTTTCAGTTTGAATCCTCGGGGCGGAAGTTCCTGTTTAGGGTTTAGGGTTTTAGGGTTTGGGGTTTAGGGTTCTGCACAGGCCAGGATGCCAAACGGCATGCGTGGTTTCGAGGGGCGCTTTATTTCGCTGAGAGGAGGATCCTTTTGGCCCGATCTCTCGCTGTGCTGGGATAAGACCCCCATAAACCCTAAACCCGAAGCCCTAAACCTAAACCGAACAGCCCTCAACCCTGAATCCTAAACCCAATCCCCCTGAGCCGATTCTGTAGCTTTCGAGACGTTTCGAGTTTACCGGGGTTGAGAGCAAAGAAAAGGCTGTTAGGGTTAAGGGTTTAGGGTTTAGAAAACGGCTTTTTCAGTTGTCCGACATCCGGTGTTCCAGGCTAAAGTACTTGGGGATTCGGGGTACTTACAACCTAGGTATAACTGCAGTTATAACCCAGCTACAGGTCCTCCCAGTCAGTTGCTGAGGTTCCGGTTGCCTTCTACTTCGAAGTACAGTTATAGTCTGGTTATAAGTACCCCGAACGTCGCAGTAGTACAGTCCAGAAGAGTTGCGATGGGAAATTCATCACACCCCGCCCGAGTGATTAATGATCAATTCCTCGCTCTTCCAACCTTAAACTCCTAAACTCTTACATCCCTAAAATTGATTTGAAGAATCGGGCTTTAAGGAGCTCAGCTTGCAAGCTAACGGTCCTCAGTCGTGGCCGGTGGTTTGTCTAAATTTGGGTCCCTTTCGAGGGGTCGTTACAGGAAAGGCACCTACAGGGATCCGTAGTTTAGAAGAGCCACCAGCTGCACCGACACAGGACGGGGCATTGAGCCCAGCCGACGGTTTTAGGAAGACAAAAAGGCCGCAGCGATCAAGTTGAAATTCTCACAGATTTTAGCCAGTTCGGTGGCATTGAAGCCAAGGTCTCAGCACCCACAAGTCCTGGTGCTTCTGGATTCTGGATCGTTCGTGTTGCATTTTGCATAAACCGTAAGCCCAGCGCTCTTTCTGTCTCACTTCTTCATCCCCGCTGTTCTAAACCCAAACTCGTTTCGGGTTTCGATTGCAGGGTTGAGGGGGCCTGAAGAAGTAGTGACTTTAAGTGTTTCCCCCCCCACAACCCCCAAGCCTTAAAACCGAAAGCCGAGCTTGCCTTTCGCAGGCCGGTCGAAGGCTTCGAGCAGCAAGCTGGAGGAGGTGCGACGCAGAGTTGGGGCTTCAGACTTGCATGGGCGTCTTTAGAGGCTCTTTGTTCTAGAGGGCGTTATATGGGCTCCTTAAACTTTGAGGGTTCTGCATAAGGCTGCAAGACGTCTCCTTCAAGATGTCTTCATCCGGATTCTACAGGGCTCCTTCAAAGGGCTCTATGTAAGGCTCTAAACGCGCGCCTTCAAGGGTTCTATATAAGGTCTTACAGGAGCTCCTCCATTGGCGAAGAACAGAGCTGTTTTGTAATATGAGGTTTGAAAGGGTTTTTCATCATTGCTCTATGAAGGTTCCAAAAGGGATCTGTAGGGTTGTTGGCAGCCGGATGGGTTCTACAAGGGTTCTGAAAGGGGGGCTCGTGCTTAGGGACTTGGATTGCCCGCATACAATACTGTAGGGGCTAGACGAATAATTATTAGGGTTTAGGGCTTTAGGGTTATTACTACGCGTCCGTAGACCTTATTCAGTTGTTCCATCTGTTATTATCTTCGAGCAATGGTCGGTGGCGGTATCCTGCATTGGATTGCCAGAAGCAATTTCCTAAAACTGCGCTGGGAAAACGAAGATGCTACCTGAGACCTTCTTGCGACAGTTGGAAGGTATTGGGGGGAGAACGCCCTAAAGCCTAAACCCCTAAACCCTAAACGCAGGGCTTGCTCGGATTGTTGAAAACTACCTAAGCCCAACAGCAACAAAGCACCGTAAGCCAAGATGCCAGGGCTCATGACTGGCCGTTTAAGCTGGCTTACTTAAAGGCTCATGGGACTTCGTCACTAGGGTTATAAATAAGGTAACTATACTTATAACCTCAATTAGGGTACTTATAACTGTACTTATTAAGTCCCATGAACCTCCAAGTATTTGAGGTTGAAATCCCGCTTCCAGATCCTGACGACAGTATTTTTCACAGAATCGAAGTCACTCAAAACTTCATAGGCCACCCTAAACTCTAAACCGTTCGACACTTCATAGAGGCACCCTAAACCCTAAACCCGTCGAAATCCCGTAGAACACACACTAAACCCTGAAACCCTCGAAAGCTTCATAGACACCCTGAGCTCTAAACTTCCCTGAACCATTCAAAGGCTTCAAACAATGCACCTGAACCCAACATCTTCACAAGCTTCATCAAGCAACGCTAATGTAGGGGCCTTAATAAATAGAAGAGGGTTTTGGGACCCATTATGCCATGACTACAATAAGGAACCCCCGAAACCCTAACTCTAAGTATTAAGGCCCCTACCCTAAACCCTAAACCCCAAAACCCTAACTCTAATTGTTAAGGGCCCTACCCTAAACCCTAAACCCCGAAACCCTATTCTAATCATTAAGGCCCCTACATTAATCCATTCAACACAACCTCAACACCATCCCGGAGGGCTATGATAGGGCTTACAGGGTTTCGGGCTGAGGGTTTGAAGGTTTGGGGTTTAGGGTCCAGGGATAGGGTTGAGGGATTTGGGGTTTAAGGTTTAGGGTTCTTGGGTTTCGGGGTTTGGGATGGAGGGCTTATATTGCTAAAAATGCAACCTAAACCCTAAACCCTAAAGCCCTAAACCCTAAACCCTGAACCCTAAACCCTAACCTCATCCTTGTGACTTCTAGGCTGCTGCACCCCAGCCTCCCGCACCGGTCTGGTCTCCGCCGGCCTGGAGCTCAACTTGAGGATTCCTGGGAGATAAGCGCGTCCGCGGTGTAGGGATGTTCAAGGGCTTACCTATAGTCTCCATTGTAGTTCCTTTCTTTGGTTTAACCAGTTTTATAATTAGGATCCTATAAGGTAACCCCAAAAAGGAACTACAATGGAGACTATAGGTAGAGTGTTAAGAGGGTTTAGGATGAAGAGGGTCTGGGGTTTCAGGGTTCAGGCAGGGTATATAAGGCTGAGAGGCTCGGGGATTCATTGGAGGCTACGCGGTTTGAAGAGCTCTGGAGGCAAGAAGACGTCGGTGGATTTCCCCCAAAACCCTAAACCCTAAGCCCTAAACCCCCTAAACCCCTAAACCCCTGGACCCCTAAACCCCAAACCCCTCAACCCTAAACCCTAAACCCTAAAAGCCTAAACCCTAAACCCTAAACCCCTAAACCCCTAAACCCTTGAACCCTAAACCCTGGCCCTGGGGTTGAGGCAGGGAGCGTTCAGGGCTTCAGGGTTCCTTTGGAAAAGACGCAGAGAGTTTGAGGCTTTACGGCTTTGGGCTGTAGGGTTTCGGGTTTAGGGTTTAAGGTTTAGGGGTTTACGGCTTAGGGTTTAGGATTTTCATAATACTTACAGGTTCAATGGATTTAGTAACCAGGGTTATAAATAAAGTAAGTATACTTAAAAGTACTTCTAACCCCCAATTGGGGTACTTATAACTGTACTTCTTAAGTCCCATGAACCTCCAAGCAAGCTTGACTGTCCCAGCTTGTAGATCTAAATCCTTAAAGACTGTCTGGTGCTTAGTAGGGAATGGGGGAACGGGTTATAGGGACTACTATAAGGCACCTTAAGGGACTATCATAGGGATCCATTCCCCCATTCCCTACTAAGCACCAGACAGAAGTAGAGGCTCCCATCTCCTCTTCTCTGCCTTCCACCTTTATTTGCCCCACGACGCCGTTGAAGGCAAACACCCTGAACACCACTCCGCTAGCTTCCCCAACGCCCTCGCTCGCTCGAATCCCTAGACCGCAGACTCCGTAATAATCATCATCAGAATCATCATAACAATAATAATACGAATAATGTTAATAGTAGTAATACCGATAAGAATAGCAATAGTAATGATGATAATAATGAAACTAGCTAGTAACAATACTCGCATACGAATAGTCATCGTAACAATACTAGTCACAACCCTAAACCCTAGACCCTAAACCTTAAACCCTAAACCCTAAACCCTAAACCCATGCAGCTCCGAAGACCTTTCTCCGCTCCCTCCTCGTTTCTGGTCTGCCTCAGCTGAGGCAGTCCCCCCTTCTCGGAGGTTCGAGGACCTCTTTGTCCCTGGCTTTTGAGTCTTGCGATGGTCTTCTTGTAGGATCAGGCTCTTTAGGGTTTAAGGTTTAGGGCTTGGGGTTTAGGGCTTCGGGCTTGGGGTTTAGAGTTTAGGGCTTTGGGTTTAGAGCTTGATGGTTTGAGGGTGTCAGAGTTGAGGCTTCTTGAGTTGCTTCTTATTCCTTCAGGTGTACAATACCCACGATTCCCAAGGACAGACGGCGGAATCGGAAGTGGTCTAGATCTTAGAACTTGTTTTCATAACATTATGGAAGACCTGCAGCTAGCTCTCCCTGCTCTCGAACAAGGCACGCCCAGCACCCCAGAGCTCTGGTTCCAGCTGGTGGATGCAAGCTGTATGATTCATGTAGGTGGTTGTCAAAATGATGG